TTTAGCAAACAATGGAAAAAAGATCTAAAGAATTTTAATATTATAAACAATATAAAAGTACACTTTTATCAAATATATTACTACTATCAAACAAGTTTAAAGAAAAAAAAAACAATGCATATAAATAGAATGTTAATGCAAATGGGAAAGAAAAAAGTTTGAATTTTCTTAGAAAAGTATGAGTACCATGAATACCAATATCAAGAAACAAAAATCTTTTATTTATAGTTACTACTTTTTTTAGCTAGCATTTAAATTATTTTCTCCATAAAAATTGGTAATCATAAATAATGATTCCATATAATCATAATATGGACCACAAACTTTAATAATGACGTCATAATAATAAACTTCATATGACTAAGAGTATCATAATATAATATAATTCAAATTCTTTTCATCTGAAATATTTTGACAAAGTGATATGCTTCTCAATATTACAAATTCGATTGATTGGGAAAAGTATTAAGACAAATAACTTTGAAATCATTGCAACAACCAAAATAGTTAATGATTTGCAAACAATAGGTTATGTAGTTTGTCTATCTCATAAATAAGTAACACTAAAAAGAGAATGTTCGATTCTGATCAAAATGTTTTTGAATGTTTGAGTAAGTTGTCACTTTTTAATAGGAACATTTACAATCTTAATTGTGTATTGTGCTCGAGAATATGCGCAATTACTTTAGAGTATGTACTTCATGTAATATGATGATAATAAGAATAGTTTAGCATCTTTTCGAAGAAGTACATGATTTTGTAAAATCAACTTTTATTTAGAAATAAAATTCGTTCTCACCCTATATGATAGGTACCAATTTGTCTATATGGGGAGAGAGAAAGAGAAAGAGAGAGAGTAATGTAGTAGTTTATACAATGATAAAAAAAATCACGAATTTCAATGACACGGTTGGTTATTTCACATAGATAATTATGAAATGTTAGTTGAAATACCTTATAATGATCTTTCAATTATGAAGTTTGACTATATGTTTGGCTAAAGTATTTATAAGTGTTGAATAATGTAGACGTTTTACTAATTAATTAAGAATAATTTTGCAATACTATTGATGTATTGGACTCCAATGAGTATGAATGTTTCTTATGAGAACTCAAAACTAAAATGAAAAAAAAAAATTGACTCTCGAACATTATAAATAGATAAAATAACTCATGCATCTATAATATACATTAGATCCTTATTTATTTTTATTATTATTATTATTAGGGACTTATTTTCTTATATATTTTTGTTTGAGTTTGTAACATGTTATTTAAATCCTTTTATGTTACGACATCATTATGTTGTTTTTAACAAAAAATTTATATTAAGAGTTTATTTGTTCTATATTTCAGTTTGTGCTTGCAATCATATATTTAATAAATTAATTAATTTATCTTATCGGCCAAAAATATTTGTCACCACGTGCATTGCACGTGTACTTTACTAGTGTATTGAAAAGAATATTCAGTTCAATGTCATCCTTCTCAAGGGCATCGTGCATCAAGGGCAGAGGGATATGGAGGACACGGTGGCTTCGGATCTGTGCTTCCTGGTGTGTACAACGACCACAGCGGGAGGCGCACGTGCAGAGGCCTGATGATGCAAGGGGAAAACATCTTCTTAGGGTAATCACATCCACTTATACGACAGACTAAGGGATTTTCTTATGATGGCACATGTTTTTTGAAATTTGCTTAAATTATTTTTTGCATTATTGTTTGCATTTTGGCTTATATTTTTTAGTTCAATTCTCATTGATAATATCAAGTTTAAATTTTAGTTCCTACTCTTGGTGTGCTTATTTAATCTTTGGTCTTCAACAAACGAAAATGGTACAATGAATTTTAAATTGAACGTACTGACATATTTATAATTATTTTTGTTTACAATCATTTTATAATGTCAAATACTCATTTGAAATCTCTGAATAATGTAGAGTTTTCATTGAATAATGTAGAGTTTTCATTTCTTTGTTAATTGTTATGTTTTTGTGTTCTTGATGGGAAAAGTGTGGTATGTGGTACTAATTAAACTTTGTAGGCTTCGTTGCCTTTGAGTGGCGTTAGTGGGTCGACGACGGTGGGAGAGAAAGAGCTGTGGTGGTGAACTACAACGTCGCCGGTGCTCTGGTGCCGGGTTTACGGTACAGTTGTAGGAGCACTTCAAGGTAGATATTTGACTAACAAATAAATTTCAGCAATAGGATCACATGGTTATTTATTGATTGACGGATAAACTCATGTAGGAAACATGTCCGTGCCAAATATCACTCATCCCTATTCTCCTGTTGGTGGGGAACATTGTTCTGCTAAGAGAATAGGTAAATTCTTTTTCTGGTCATTGGTTCTTCGATCAGTAGGAACTTAAACTTAATTTGTGATAAATATTTTAAACTTCTTATTACAACTATTTTGAGGGTCAATGGTATGCTATTTATGTTTTCCCTGTGAAAATCGTTAATTGTTTGTTGTCGTTCGTTCCCAACTCTGTTTAGATAGTGTCGGACAATGGTAAATTGTAGAAAGGTTTCTCACTAAAGTGATGGTGTGTGGATCACCCGTTCATGCATTTGGGTTGTTACAAAGTTACCCCTTGGTTTCTTAATTACCAAAAGAGCGCAAATCCCTATATAAATTAGGCCCTGTTAAAAATTGTTTTTGTTTTTACAGATTGCACTTTCGGTAACAGTGGTGTTTGCAATGTTATTATTCTTCATAAACATGATTAATAGCTTCATGTACTTAAATCTTGGGGTTAACCTTTTGACACTTTGTAGTACTCATCAGTAATACTTTTATTATGCGTATGGTGGTCCTGGAAACAATATCTTTATTTCATAACCAATAATTTACATGACTGGTAAGCAATGATACAAGTGACTACTTTGTAATACTACTAGCTAGCTACTAAGGTTGGTGCCACTCTCTACTGGTGATTGTTGTTAGCTTTGTTCCATTTTTTAATCATCAAATTAGTGGTATGTTTTTTTGTAATTTTTTTTTTTT